AATTTGGTTTCTTCTTCTTGGTTCTTTCTATGCTTGTCAAAGGCAAGGCTTACATATATATTAATTTTTGTAACACCATTACATAAAACCTTTGAATGCGGTAAGTATAAATGCATATGTGTGGAGTGGATAATTTAATGAACCAAATCATTATGGCAGCAGAAAAGAAGATAATTATGTAGCTCATTTTGAGCTATATCAAAACACTGAAATATAATCTAGAAAGAAGTAAAAGGTATATACCAAGGAAGCAAGTGCAAAAAATGCTTACTTGAGTAATGGTATAATTAGTAATACCTAACAAGAGGATTTTCACTTTGTAAAGTGCAGTTGGAACTACACACACATGCCAGTACTCAGTCATTGTAAGTAAAATATATGATATGTGACACTATTTGTTTTAACGTAACCCAAACAACATACTATACACACACACACACACACACACACACACACACACACACAAGTAAAGGATTTTAAAAATTGTATGAAAGGAAAAAGATTAATGATATTGAATAGAAAGGAGTTGTGCTTTATTGGTAATGTATTAATTTTTGAAGGAGAATATACTGGTCCAAGGCTCAATGGTCAAAGTAGAAACATAGCTGTTAAGACCATCATGAGCATCAGGTATTCCTGTTTCCCTAGTGGCTCCTACAGAGGTGTTAATATACAGATCCTGAAGGAGCACTAATAATCTGAGAGTACTCCATAACCAAGTACTGCACAGACCATACCAAATTCTCTCTTTGTAACTACCTCTTTTTTAGTATAGCGGAAGAGTACTTCAGTGTGTTGTGATACAAAATTTGTCCTTGAAACCAGCCTATTATTCATGTTAAATATTAAACGAGGAAATCTAAAGGTTGAGAAAAAATTGGCTAAAGTTTTGAAATAAAGTCTAGTGAATCACTACACAGTTATTTTTAGAGTAATGGGAAAACTGCCAAAATTTAGACTCTACTGGAAAGCAAACTAATAGCTTCTTAAGAGTCCAACTACTAGTCAAACAAATTATAGTGAAATGGGATAATTTTGTGGACTACCAAAGACAGAGAAAGCATAACAGCAATCTAAAGACAGAAAAAGAAATTTATATTAAAATTTAAAGAAGTTGTATGCTTAATATTGCTTTTTCAGAATCCATATCAAGAACTATGCTACTGAATTAGTTTTCCTATTAACTTATTATCAACTATATCATCAACTCCTGAAAAAATAACTTATTCATGAAAACATTTCTCTTCGGTTTCCTATGTAGCCTGTTTATAATAGCTCTAAATTCTGAGTTTCCACACTAAATCCAGCTTCTGACTGGGATGAAGGTAAGGTGTCAATTCTCTAGCTGTCAGTCTCTTGTACGATCTAATAACAATCATATTTTCATTTGGTTAATTGTTTATAAGTTGATTACATGTGCCTCATCCCCTATAAACTCCACCATAGCTGTGGCTAGCCTAATCTGTTATATTTTATTGTACCTTCACTAGCATTTAGCATAGCACATGCACATTAATACCCAAACTAATTTAGCGAAGGTAATTAATTCATATGAATTAATACATGAATAAGAATGAAGATAATACAATTAAAAACCATCAATACCTACATAGCCTCACGTCTTCTAAATAGTACATTTTAACTATATTAATTTAACCATATTACATCTAATGTACTTTTATAAATATTGTCAGAGTGCAGTATCCAAAGAATGAGAGTGTGGCATTATCAGTTATGTCTGGTTCATGTAGCAAATAGTTATTTATTGGAATGTCTAGTGTTTCTCTAGCACTAAGCTGTTCATAGCGCATACAGAAATAAAGAAAACGACTCTTTCCTTCACAGCACTGGTTCATTAGCCTGCCATTTGTAGGAAGAGCAGGTCATTTCATCTTGAAAGACATTAAGCAATTCTTGACCACTTCCTGGTTCACTTCAACCCTACAAGTCTTGGAAAAGGAATTCGACCAACTGCCTTTTCAGCTAACATATTTTAAACAGTTAGCCTAAGAAAAATACCTACTCTATTTTCTTACTGATATCTTTTTTCTCTATCTCAGTCTCATGCTTTTCTGTGCCATACATGTCATCATTTTTTTGGTGACTTTATAGCTTCTATCATTTATACTCCTAACTTAGAAGAGAAGTGTGGAAACTGGTTCTCAGCCCTTGTTTATGCCTTCTCATCGCCACCCTACATGTGAAGTTAATATATCCATTCATTGATATTACACATTTTTCCTTCTCCTTTGGAGTTCACTTTATCTTTCTAGATACATCAGTTCTTGGAAACATGTTTGACCACATTTCCTATTATAAGGAGCCCTGGCAGTTGATGGCAGACATCAGAGTCTGAATCTTGACTCTACCACTTCCTATTTGTGATTAAGACAGTTTAATTTCCTAGTTATTAAAGTGATAGAAATAATAATGGTTATGTTGCAAGGATTAAATTAGCTGAGATTTATAAACTGCTTAGTCATTGGCACACAGAAACCACTTTAGCATACCATTCTCACCACTGTTGACCACGGTGCTGTTAAGGTCCAGACTGCTGCCTACTGACTGTCAGGTACTGCCCATCCTGACTTCAAAACAGAGCTTGGACCAGCTCATCACACAGCTCTGTTTACTATGAGACTTCAAATGTGGTATTTCTAACTATAAAAGTTCTCCTACTTACTTTTCTCATTCCTGAAACTCTAGAAATTTCTCTCTATTCTCTTGGTGTCAATCATGGATTCTCTTTCAATTCACCCGAACATTAGCAATCTAAATTTCAACCTTTTAACTTTCACAATTTTCTAAGATGAACATTCAACTCTTATTCAGTGCAATCTTAGTCTATACAACTTTCTTCAATGTGTATGTTAAAGCCCTCCTTAATGTCTGGAGATCTTATTTGTTCTTAAATAATCACATGAGGATCTATTTTCTGTGAACATTTATAACTGCAGAACATCCACATTGCAACCCATAACCACCTCCCCTCTACACAACACAAACTACACAAATCTCTTATGCATTAAAGAATCACTTATGTGGCTGTTTAATGAGAATCTTTAAATATTTATGTGCATGTATGTTACTTCCCCAATCCTATTAAACGCTCCTTGAAGGTGAAAGAGACACCACTGGAACCCAACAATATGTGAGGCATTCTTTTAAATACTTTGTATATGTTTACTCACTTAATATTCATATGAACTCTAAAAAGTATTAATTATTATTATTGTCTGTATAAAAGACAGATGGAGATAAATTCAGGGATAGAACCTTCCACATAAATCTAAATATAAGCAGCATTTAATAAATGCTGAATGAATGAATCTTCTCAGAATGCTATAACCTTACTCTAACTTCATGGATAATTTTTCTACATTTATCTAAAGTACTTCTTTATAAACACTGCTGAATAAGGGTGATTTATTTCTACTACTCAAGATTCAAATAGGACCAGGCCAACAATGGAAATTCTACAAGGGTGAATTCTACAAGAGTGAATTTGGAAATAAATTTTATAATTCTGATGCTACTGTAATGATGATATGAAAACACTTATATTTTGTAGTTGAAATACTCTTTATTAGATACATCCACTTTATGAAGGAACTTTTGAGAATTAAGTGACACATATCTGCACAAAGCACTTATGATTTATAAGCACTGCAATTTCAAAATATTTAGCCTGTGTTTACTACGAATCATTTACTAACCAGTTGTATGATTTTTAGGAACTCTGATTTATGTCTTTGAGATTTGCTTATCTGTAAAAAGGAACTAAGCTCTAATAAACTGACCTTTTGGAGATTTTAAAGGGATTACTCACTTGTAAAATTACATTATTCTTAAGGCAATATTAAGAATGAAGGAATTCATAATGCAGAGGGAATGGTGTAGAACTCAAAGCCAGGAAAAATCAACTTTCCCATGCAACTTGCATCTTGAATTGACTACACCATGTGCACAGGGATGATAGATCACTTGACTTGCCCCATGTTCTCAAGTACCCTCTTTTAACAGTGCCTCAATCAATTTAAAATGCAACTAAACCTCTTGAACACATTTAGTATCAATCAAACATTAATAAATTCAAAAAATATATAGAGCACATATTTTTATTAGAAATGTCTTTGAAATCACCTTGTAATGAAAATCCTCCAGTTCCTCCCCTCCTGTTTATAAGTCAAAGGTTCTTGAAATTAGAAAACTTCAGAAGTAGAAGACATTATATTACTGTGAGGTCCACATTTTTCATTTGTTCTAAGCATTTTACTTCTATTCTCTTACATACTTAAAAATACATTAAACGAAAAGGAATTTAAGATTTTTGTTTGAAATTACCATTGCATAAATAAATATTCATGTAGGAAAACCATGCACAAAATTTGTAACTGCATCATATACATGTTTCATTAATATATATGTACCTGTTGTGTTATATATGTTAACTACATCATATACATGTGCTACATGTGCACATGTATACATAACTCATTAATATCCATATGTATATATAATTTCAACTAATAGCACTTTTATTCAAAATTTAAAATCATTTTACATGTATAATCGTTATGTAGTTCAAATAGCATTCAAACAAAGCTGATCTTTTTTTTTTTTTTTTTTGTCTTTTTCGTTTTTATCGGTACCAGGGATCAAACTCATGACTGCCTGCTTGCAAGGCAGGCGCTTATGCCGCTGAGCTAAATCCCCAGCCTCTGAACAAAGCTGATTTTGAAAGTCTACTGATTACCTAATAAAATAACACTGTCCTCAGAATTATGACTTGTGTTGGCTATTGAAAGTGTTAGAGTATGAAATTATGATACACAACCACATTCACTGTACAGTATTACAGTAAATATTACTGTTATGTCAGACATTTTAAATTATAGTGAAATATCACCATTTCTTAGAAGCAACAAAGGATAATTAATATTAGATGACCTTCAGTAACAATCAGACCAATAATTGAGAATCAGGAAAAAGAAGCCTACCTTCCATCGCCCTTTTAAAGAAGACCTTACAGCTCCCACAGGTAAGGACACCATAATGACAGCCTGATGCTTCATCACCACAGATAAGACAAATCTTCTGAGGCAGTGACTCGAAGCTGTACTGTGGGCTCTGGCTGGCTTCTGAATCCGGTCTTGAAACACAAAGCAAGTACTCCACTTATTTTTAGGTTCACTACCATGTTACTAAAGGTTTCTTAAAGCAGCTCTCATTAAGCTGAAGGGGGTTTCTAAAATTACACTATTATATTGTACACACTTGAAACTTAATACAATTCACACTGAGCATTTAATAGACCATGTGTAATCAAGTTCACCTGACTTGCAAAGTATTAGCCTTCATTAGTAGTACCAACATAGAAAGAACGGTAATTAGTGTAGCAATTCATGTTCAGGAAAGTTAACTTCTGCCAATCAATAAAACAGAAATCTTCCCTCAGAAGTCCTTACAGAGAAGCAATTTAGATTTTGACAAATGGAACGGTATGCCCTACCTGTATGGTAGGTAACAACACGGTTTGAAGAGTTCAATCAGCAATGCCTATTCTGAGTTTTGCAAACAACTATGCAACGACTGTTTAATTAGATATGCGTTGTGTGACTGCAGTGTTCTGTATACTATTTCTCCTGTTCATAGAATGAAAGGCTACCAAACTGAACATTCTTATTTTTTTCTTTTACGTTCCATTACTTCAGTATGTAAAAACTAAAACGTTCTTGAAACTATGTGTGTGACGAAAGTGGTCGGGAATCCAAAACCATATTAGACTATGGTGCACTGCAGTGATTGATGTTGAGTCAACAAACATATCACACTTAGAATTAATTTTAATCTTGGGATGCTTATGAAACGGTGAGAATACGGTGTGCCAATCCCAATTCTGCTTTGCGTTCTGTCCCTCACCTTCCAGTCCCACCCATCTCGCGGGGGAGAGGGCAGTGTCCTAGTCCCCGTCCTGTGCACATTCCCGTAAACACCCAGGAAAGAAACATTTCACTGAGCATCCAACTCCCCTAGTGGTTTCCAACCTGTGGGGCAACAAGGGATCTACTGTGACGCTGCACTTTTCAATCGGGGTTGGTCCTGCTTCGGAATCTGCAGATTTGTTTGAAAAATGCCGTCTGGGAGGCACTCTCTAAAAATAGCACATTCTGTACCGCCTTGGCGCCCCCTTTTAAGGAGAAAAGGGAAGCAGGGGCCACAGTGCCCTGGCGCCCCGTCCGGGCCGCCCACCCCCTCGGCCTCACGGGCCGCCGCGGAGGACCCCGCCTCACCTCAGGTAGTTGAGATAGGGCGGGTAGACCTGCGGCAGGCCGTCCTTGAGCACCGCGGCCTGGTAGCCGAGCTGCGGGAGCCCGTTGAGCCCGAGCGGCGGGTAGAGCGCGGGAGCGGCGGGCGCGGCGGCGGGCGCGGCGGGGGGCAGCGCGTCCCGCGGGAGCAGGCAGGCGGCGGCCGCGGGCTTGCAGGGCAGCGGCGCGAAGGGGCCCTGCGGGGGCGGCGCGCCCTCGGCTTTGTACAGGATGCACTCCAGGGCCGAGCCGGGCGCGGGCGCGGGCGCGGGCGGGACGGCGACGCCGGCGGCTACGCCCCCTGCGGCCGCCTCGCCGGGTCTGGACGAGGGCGCCCGCGGCGGCGGCGGGGGCGCGAAGTCCGGGAAGGCGGCGGGGCTGGCGCCGGGCAGCAGGTACGCGCGCGGGGAGCGCGCCGCGGCCTCCGCGCCCTCCTCCTCCTCCTTGATCTTCAGCGCGGGCGGCTGGAAGTCGCCGTACAGGGGGAAGGCGTCCTCCTTGGGCTCGGCGTCGGGCGGGTAGGGGCAGTCGGGGAAGTCGCAGCAGGGCACCGGCGTGGCCGCGGCCGAGGGCGAGCCCCGCGGCGGCGCGAAGGCGCTGGGCGCGGAGGCCCCGCCGTCGTAGCCCTCTCCCTCCAGCAGCTGGCGGGTGCGCGCGGCCAGGAAGGGATGGTTGAGCGGCAGGATGGGCACGTGGATGAAATCCACCACTGCGGTGGCCTGTGGGGCGCGCCCGGGCGCCGCCGCCGCGTCCTGCTCCGCCACCGCACCCCGGGGCGCCGCGAAGCGCGAGTCCTCCTTGGGGACGTGGGCGCCGCCTCCCGGGGCAGCTCCAGGTGAGCCGGCCGCGACGCCGCCTCCGGCCACGGCGCCTCCCAGAGCCGCGGGCTTGCCGCCCTTCAGCAGCGGGACGGCGGAGCCGTCGCACTCGGAGGCGTCTTCGTCCACCTCCACCGCGGCCGGTTGAGCGGCCGGCTTCGCCGCGGCCCCGGGCCAGTGGGGGCCCCCGGGGGTGGGGAGCAGCAGCTGCCCGGACGGCGGCAGCCCGGTGGGCAGCATCTTGGGGGCCGCTCCTGGCCCGGAGCCGTCGCCAGCCTTGGTTTCCGGCCGGCTCATGAGGGGGGACAGCACCTCCCTGGCGGCGGGGGCACCCCGGGAGTCCTCGGGAAGCTCTGAGCCAAACAAGCACCAGGGGCTAATGACCCCGCAGGCGGGAGGGCTGGTGCGACTCTGCCTGCACCCCGAGGGCGCCAGGAGCGTGTCCAGGACACTGTCCAGCAGCCCGCTGTCCTTTTCTGGCGCTCGAGAGCTGCTGCCTCCTGCACCCCCTACAGCCTCGGCTCCGGGGTACGCGCCCGCCGCGTCTAACAGCGGCTGCTGGTCCTGCGTCTTCCCGTCGGGGGCGTCCTGACCCTGGCTGAGCGGAGGGAAGAGCAGCCCGTCCAGGGAGATGGGGATGGCCGAGACCCCCGGGGAGGCGTCCAGGGAGGTCTGGCTCGCCTGGAAGGGACCAGCGTCCGGGCGACCCAGCAGAGGAGACCCGACCTCGGTAGGGGAGGGCGCGCCGCCCGCCGCGTGGGGAGCCCGGAGATCCTGTGCCTGCGGCTCAGTCATGACGACCTGAACTCTCTTTTTCTCCTCCCCTGTCTCTAGGGAGGAGGGAAAAAGGAAGGAGGAGGGGGTGTCTGTAATATAGGGGCAGAGGGAGGAGAAAATGGGTGTTGAATTTGGCCGGACCCGGGGGATCTCCACCTCCTGAGTCGCGGGGCGGTGCTGGTCAGCTCCTGCCTTCGCTCTCCATCCTGCGGTCTGAGGAAGGGTGGCGGTCGTCTGTCAAAGGAGGAGGGCAGATGCGGAGGGCAGGAAAAGGTGAAGGATCGCTTCCAGTCAGAGTTCTCCGGCTGTCCGTGGACGGGAGATGCTGAGTACTCACAAGTCCGGCGCTGGAGTGGTGGGTGCTGCACTCCGGCTGCGGCTGCTGCTGCGGCTGCTGCTTAAGCAAACGACACGCGGCTGTCTCCCGACTTATTCTCAGGCTTCAAACCCGGGCATGCTGTGCAGTTTAGGGTTTAGCTCTGATCTTCTTACAAAGCCCGGGTGCTCCTTGGACCTTTGGGACCGCCCGTTCTCAGGCGTACTTCTGCAGGCTCCGGCTCCGCACAGCGGCTCTCAGTTCAGTGGTGGAGGACGAGCTGCCTCTGGCAGCAGATCCCATCCAAATGCCAAGTGAAGCTAGATTTCGTTAAGAATGCCGTCCTCGCAGCCCAATCCTCACTCAATACTACTAGGAGACTTAACATGAGTGGTAATACTCTAGTCAGACTCCACAGCTTTCTAGCAACGCCTCCTCCCTCTAGGGAGGCCCGCCCAAAGCCCCTCCCCACCCCAATTATGACCCGAACTGAAACTCAGGAATAGGTATTCCAATCCTCTAGTTTGAATTCCACTGTAATATAGCAGGTGTTTCCTTAGATGGAAGCTCCTAAGCATGTCACATTTTGTACCACCAGTTGCTGTGCCCATCAAATGGGAAAAATGAATAGATTATATGGGAAACAAAATTTTTGTAACCATTTCAGGACTTCAGTTTTATAAGGATTTAATGTAAGCCACACTTAGCTACATTGTGTTTTAGAGTACACATATCAAGAGTGACCTTAACTATTTTAAGAAAAATTTTCCCTATGAGTTCCATTAACAGTGAATGCTAATCTTGGACTTGAGACCTCCCAGGGTGCCGGGATTACAGGCATGTGCTACCGCTGTGGTTCTCTTGAACAGTACCCAACGTAATTTAGCATCTTGGGAGTGGCAGATAATTGATAGCACTTCTCTACCTGTGTGGGAACTTTGGATGTTATATATCACACTTTGATTAGTTCTAAGGAATACATTCTAATTCTTAACGCAAAGTTTCCGTTAGCTCTGGTTTATGTCCTATACTACACCATAAGAGCCCCAGTAAAAAAAAAAGAACAGTATTCTCTCCTATCAGTATTCTCATTCTTAAAAATAATTATCTCTAAAGTCATGAGGATAGTCTGGAGAGAGTGAAGAATATTATGATATTTGAGATATGATATATCAGATACAGAATAATAAACTAAAATGGTTGGACTAAAATCCAAGATCACTGGGTATACTGACATCATCTTAAACAAAATAATTAAATCTTATTTAAAATAATTAATTAAATCTCCTTTTAGGGTGTCAAATATATGCTAGTGCCTCTAAGTTTCTCTCACTCAGGGTGGAGGATACAAACGAAGACTAAGATTTCAGGATGTCCAGAACCTCTAGTGGTGAAGAGCCTGGATCCGGCTGTCGCCTGGGGCTGGAGGGCATATGAGTGAGAATAAGCGTGTTAGGCCACTGGGTTTTGAAGTTGATCGTTCCAACAATTAATTAACTGACTAGTTTTATATATGTAAGAATTAGGTAGATAAAGAAGGACTAAAGAGAAGTCCAAGAAACAGATATAGTATGTTAACAAGGCATCTAATAAGATAATATAGTATGGGATCTACAAGGGAACTGTTATGGATGGAGCATGGAGTTAGTGTGGGAAGAAAGTACATAAAGTTACACAGATGATTTAATTTGTGATTATCATTATTATTATTGTTTTCAGAATCTCCTCTTTGCAATCCATCTTAAAAACACTTGATATACTTTACCGAGTTGTAATTAGGTATTAGACAGTTCACTCATGAGCATGCAATTCAGTGGGGTTTTTAAAAGCATACTTAGGGTTGTGTGATCATCACTATTGCCAATTTTAGAACCTTTATAGAACGCTAAAAAATCATACCCATTGTCAATAATTCTACATTTCCCTACAATTCTTCCAGGAGCCATGAAGTATTTTTCGTTTCTCTGGATTGGGGTATATTGTACAGTAATATCAATGAAATCATGCCATTTGTGGTCTTTTTACTGACTTCTTTAACTTAGCATATTTTCAAGATTCACCTGTGTTGTACATGTATAATTACATCATTGCTTTTGTTGCTAATATTTCATTGTGTAGATATGTCACATTTATTTATCAGTTGTACAACTTTTTGTTTTTTCTACTCTTTGACTACTATGAAAAATGCTGTTATGAATATTCATGTACAAGCTTTTGTGCAAATGTGTATTCATTTTTCTTGAGTAAATACCTGGACAGCCATTTCTGTGTCATATGGTGATTCTAGGCTCTTAATTCTTTGAGAAGCTGCCAGACTTTTTCCAAAGTAACTGTACATTTTATATTCTCACCAGCAGTGCATGAATGTTAGAGTTTCTCCATGTCTTTGGCGTTTATTCTTTTTATTATATATTTCCTAGTGTGTGAAGTGGAACCTCACTGTGATTTTACTTTTTGCTTCTGTGATGGCTACTGCCATAAAATCTGTAGAATCTGGAGGATCTAGACATCCCTGGGAGGCAGTCTTCTAAACCCTTTACATATATTTATGGTCCTATGAAACAGGCAGTATTGTCTCCAGTTTATTGTTGGAAAAACTGAGGAAAAGAGTGACTTTATACAGTATTATAACAAGAGAGCCAGATGTGAACCTAAGCAATCATATGCTAGACTTCTTATGAATGTGATTTTAAATGTTGTAGGGGCTGGGGATTTAGCTCAGCGGTGTAAGCGCCTGCCCTGCAAGCAGGCAGTTGTGAGTTTGATCCCCGGTACCAATTAAAAAAAAAAAAAGGGAAAAATGTTGGATGGTTTCAAATTTGGTTCTAGCTTGCTGCCATAAAATTAAGACTTTGAGTATTTTTTAATGTGAAAATCTCTATTTGGCTTAATTTTCATTTGTTACATTTCTCCCAAGCAGTGTTATCTGACTGTTGTTTCCATAAGACTAAAAACGTCTTTAAATGGGAAAAATAATAAAGATGCTCAACATATTCTAATACATCATTACACCATGAAACTTGGTGCTGGGTGATTCACATTGTTGGCACAGAAACACACTATATGAATCTTTTAATGACACAAAATTCACGGATTAAATTTAAGTGCGATGGGGTAACTCCATATATTCCTGACAACTATTTTTGAAGAAGAAAAGTCAAACCTGGAAGTTTTTTCCCTGTAGTTTGAAAAAAAGGGAGTTTTATTAAGTTACAATTGTCATAGAACAGGAGACATGTATTTAAACTGCATAGCTTCTTAATGAGATGTATATTTTAAACTGTTCAAAATGGTAAGTTGCGTATGTGTATGTATGCCAAATATATATCCATCACCACAAACAAGATGTCAGACATAACCTTTGCCCCCAAAATTGTGCTTGTATTTTTAAAAAAGGTGTACTTATGCTACTTTTTTTTTTAATCTCTTTTCTGTCCCCTCCCTACATTCCCACTACTGGTCTCCCTAAACCACTAATCTGCTTTCTGTCACTGTATGTTAGGGTTTAAAGATTCCTATCTGGTTTAATAAACATCGCCATAAGTTTTACATGATTATGTATTTCAGATTTAATGTTTTCTGTATATTTTAAACAGACTTCATTATAGAATTTTTAGACTGATGGAAGAGTTAAACAAATCATAGGAATGAACATGTGCCTGTGTACAAAATCTCCCCTATTGTTGGCATCTTTTATTAATAAAGTACATTTGTTACACTTAAGGAGCTGATACTGATACATTGTTACTAACTGATATCCATAGTTTATGCAGAATTCCTTAGTGTTTTTTTTTTTTAATGTTCACTTCTTTCTAGGATGCCATGCAGGGCACCACATTTCATGGTTTTCATATCTCTGTAAGCTCTCCTTGCTGTGACATTTTCTCGGAATTTCCTTGTATTTCAAGACCTTGATGATTCTAGGAGATATTGTAGGGTACCACTCTATGTGTGGGCTGGAGGAGGAAAAGTAAGGAGGTAAAATAAGATCATTGTGGCATATCTGTGCATACTGTCAGCATAATTTAAGACTATAGATGCTGACCTTGATCACCTAACTGAAGTGAGGTTTTTCAGGATTCCCTACTCCACTTATTATTGTTATTTTTGTCTTTTTCCTTTTTACTGGTACCAGAGATTGAACTCATGACTGCCTGCTTGCAAGGCAGGCACTTATGCCGCTGAGCTAAATCCCCAGCCCCTACTCCACTTATTATTTTTCCCTCTTTCTGTATTGAACCTTCTGAAAAGGAGAGTGGATATTTCAGTATAGATAGATCTTATTTTATCAATTTATAATTTTATAAATTATGATTTCAGTATCATAAGAAAAACTACTAAAACAGTGTCAGAAATTTTCTGTTATGTTGTATCCAGTTTTATGCATTTAGGTTTTACATTTGTCCTATAATAGATTTTAACTTAATTTTTCAAAAGGCATAAGGCCTAGATCTAAGTGAATTATTTTTTTGTATGTGATTATCTGGTTAATATGGTACCATTTGCTAGAAAGAATATATTCTTTCTTCACTAACTGTTTTTGTAGAAATTCAGTTTTTTAAAATATATATATAAGGATCTGTCTCTAATCTCTTCATTCTATTTCATTGTTCTTTAACAGTCTTTAAGTCAATACTACATTGTCTTGATTGTTGCAGTTATATAATAAGTCCTTGACATTTAAAGTATTAATGGTCCACCTTTATTCTTTTCACTCAAAACTTTTTTGTCCCTTGCATTTTGATATATATATGTATTTTAGAAGAAATTGGTGCCTGCTTCAATTGTTATTGAGATCAATGTGAAATTATACACCATTAATTTAGAGAAAACTGACTTCTCACCAATACTGAGTCTCCCAAACCATGATGACACTATTTATCTCCTTTTGTTAGGATTCTTATTTTTTCTTGACAATGTTTTGAAGCTTTCAGTGAACAAGTCTTTTATAACTTATCTCCAATTCATTCATATTTTGATGGTCTTATGGTTTGTATCTATATGTGCTTCTAAAATCTCATGCTGTCATAGATGGGGATTTTCATAGACAGCTAGATCTAGAGTGTGTGATTACTAAGTTAGTCCATTGACTGGTTTGGCATATTCTAGATAGGATGAAGGTGCTCAGCCCTAGGTGTGAGCACTACCTAAGGGTGGGGAGCCTGGATAAAATATAAGCAAAGGAAGAGTCACTTGTGGCTTGCAGCTTGCTGTCTTGTTGCCTTCTGTTTCTCTTTTGCCATGAACTGTTTCTCCTCTGCAGCGCCCCTCTGCGTTGGAGCCAGCCAACTATGAACTAACTTCTCTACAAACTGTGTGCCAAGTTAAACGTTTCCTCCTTTAACTTAG